AGCATGCATGGGAATGTAGCACAGTTAGCAACTGTGGCTCCACTCAGAAGCATCAAAGACGGCATCAAAGCCACAGCAAATGCGATATTCTGTCATTTCCTTGTTAACAAACAGATTTCTACAGGATGAAAACATCACCATGGCAGTATTGAATGGAGCCAGTAGAACATGAAACAAGAAGTGCTGTGACCATACAGCCTTATAGAAGCCCAACTTTACTGTTTTAAAGGCCTGGGCCTTCATAGAATGAAAGAATCACAATGGTTAGAAAAAACCTCCAAGACCAACTTGTCTGACCACCACCTTCAGGATATTAAAGCACGTAGAAGGATATAAAAGACTTCTGTCATGCAATCTGAAAGAACATGACATGGTACCTCAAAAAACTGAAACAATTAAGCACCAGTTTCTTGAGATGAAAACAAGAAAATGTTTGTAATTAGCTTATTTTTTATCTGACTTAGTGAAATAAATCAATTAAAAATATAAATGAAGAAAGAAAAGAAATTCAATTCAAAGAAACTGTGGTGCAGTTATGTAGTGATACTGTGTGGCCGCACTTCACAAATGAGGAGTAAATACCAGAGAAAAGAAATATGTATCCTCCTCCATGACTAGAAGAAATGTCTGATTCTACTAATTCTTTTTAACTAGACAGACTGTCTTTAAAAATTCTGCAGAATTATTCTGATAAAAGTCAGTGTCAAGAAACGCACACAAAGAAATGATTAGGCAGTTAGAAAACCTACTGCTAAGAAAAGAGAGAAAATGCAATGTAATTAAAAATTAATTTTTGAATAAATGAAATGCATTTCATATATCTGATAAAAAAAAAAAATTGTTGCAGCCCATGAAGATGTAACTAATACTGCATCTGACAGAAAAACAATATGTATTCAATGAGGACATCATACAGCAGATGAAGTCAAACTTTTCTTGGATTTCTCTGAAAATATTAATTCAAATAACAGCTACCTGCCTCCACTGCAGACCATGGAAAAAAAAATATGCCTAGAATCAGATCTATTAAAATATTGTGTAAGGAAAAATAATATCAAGTCCACTAACCATCCATAAGCCATGAAATTACATTGCTTTGGAAAATATGTAATGTGAGAAAATGAACATACCTTAGCCAATGGTTTCTTCTGAGCACAGTTCATACCTCCAATGAAGACCATATTGGGCATCACTGGTCTGGGATACTCAAACACAAAGTCATATCTTAATAGCCAAATAGAAGCAGAGTTCAGGAGGTCCATCAGGGATACATCTCTTTGAAGAACTTCAGAGGAAAACTGTATTGCATCTTGATACATTGCATTACACTGAAAGCTCTCCAGGAGTGAAATCAGTGTATTTTCCACTCTCTGGAAAAATGTCATGTGGTCTGAGTTCATTGAAGTTCCTCTTGGTACATACGACAGAGGGCTTGGGCTCTGTGCTGCTTCATAATGCAGATTACAAGGAAATCCTCTCATGAAGAAAACAAAAGGAAGTGAAAGGTAATTGGCAACTGTTGCTCCACACATAAAAAAGGGATCTGTGAGGACTGCATCAAAGCCACTTTGATTCAAATACTGCAGTGTTTCCATACTGCTGAACAGTTCTCTGCACTCAAGATAGAAGGTTTTGAAAAGGTGTACGGTGTTCTTGTAGGGTTCTATAACATTCTCTGGGAAAGGCAAACGCTTCAGGAAAGTACCAATGAACAGTTTAAAGGCATGATCCAGATCTTCTAACTTGGTGGACACTGGGTATGTCTTCACAGTGTATGCATGTTTTTCTCTCTCTCCCATCTGCCAGCTTACTTCTGGTTTAAGCACCACCACTTCATGTCCCCTCTCGGCGAGCTTCTGAACTACTTCCTTCATGCTTAGCCAGTGGCTTCCAACCATGGGCACCACCAGGAGTTTCCCTCCTTCAGAGAGGCCAGGAATGAGGAGGATAAAAATCCAGGCAGCAAGTGGATGGCAAAGCCGCAACGTCATTTTCCTGTGGACAGAGTACTGACTGTGAAACCGTAGCCTTTTCCTTCTCCTTCTCCTCCTCCTCCTCCTCCTTCTCCTTCTCTTTCTCCTTCTCCTCCTCCTTCTCTTTCTCCAGGCTGTAGCTATAATACACTTTTGTAGGAAGGGGATGGATTTATCTGCTGAGTTGTGTTGATCTGCGGTTATCTTCTAGTTAATGATTTACTGCCTAAATCATTGCACACCTACCAGTGAATAATGCTGTTCCTTTTTCTAAATTATTTTTAAAGCCAAGCATACTGACCTTTACCTATGCTGAGTCATTAGAATTCTTCAATACTTAACAGAGAGCGAGTTCCTTGAAATCCTAGTTAGATTTCTACAGATATTTCTTGGACACTGGTGTGTCTTCTCCTACCTCTTGGTCAGGACAAAGGAAAGCAAGTCTTGTGAAAACAACTCTTAGAAATTTCATAGGAGTACCAATGCAGTGGAATGCAGGAAGTTTGGGCACATAAAATCTGACACAGAGTAGAAAATTCTCTCACAAACCTGTGCGATACTTTCACTCCCATTTAAGGCTTCCTCTCCCATCACACACAAAATAGCTGCCTCAAATTCATGCACCTTGCACAGGGTTTTCCCAATCTTGCTGTTCATTCAATAAGTGAAAAGAAAGTGGGCTGTAACAGGACTGGAATCTTGGTATCCTAATGGAGACCTTTGATAAAGTGATGGTGGATGCACATCACATCACTCCAGACCTTAAACCAATCTCCCAGAACCCAACACAAACGTCTTTAGACAGCAGGGTGTCTGACATGTGGACAAGTGGGATGAGCACCCACATGCAGACTGCCATGTGGTTTGTGCAGCTGACAGAGCTGCTTTGGATAGAAGAAACTGGACTTGGACATTGACTGACAGCATACTCCAGGGTACTTGGGAACCCGTGACAGAAATGCATCCACAGCACGGATGTCAAGAAACACTGCTAAGATTAATAAGCATTTTCTTTCATAACCATACTACGCCAAATTTGTCAGTGAAGTATATCTTACAGTAAATATAAATGTGAAAAACTAGTGTTGAATGACCTGTGTTGTTTTTTAAATAACCAAAACCACTATTTGGTCCAACTGAGATTTATCTCTTTCATTGCAGGATACCTGCATTTTCTAAAGAAGTAGCCAACTGAAAAATCTTTTCCCCTTGTAAAATATACATAGAACTTCCTTCTAACCTTTTATCCTATCAGCTATAAAGCTATATTGTGAAATGGAGCCCCAGATAACACTAGCCTGCTAAGAACATGATTCTAGCTCATAAAATGGTGAGTTCAAGGTCTGAGTGAGTACATATCCGGACTGACATTCAAGAACACTGTGGGGAAAGATATTTTGCAGTTTTAGATTTCTGAGTGATTAAATCACTACCAGTCACAATGAAAATTTATATGCGTACTTGATAATCTAGACATGGACAAAATGGCACCCACCGACTTTCATCAATGATTGATGAACATTTATGTAGGCCAAACTGTGAAAGTTGGCTCAGTGAGGCTCTGGTTGTTGCATTTCAGCAGTGGCAACAGCAAAGTGGAAGACGAGACATGCTCTCAACGGCCATGCACAGCTGCCACAACACAAAATGAATAGTCTCAATCAGTTCATGCATGTGAATACGCCAGGGGTGGTGACTCTGCTGCAGAACTGTGTTTTGTAGCTGAGAATTTACTCTGACAAATAGCACCATTGTGCTCTTTATATCTGCTCTTGTTTTCATTGAAATACATAGGAGGCATTACTTTCCAAGAAACCTACATATATAGGTAGGTGACCAGGCAGATGCGATCTACAAGCATGTATCTATCCTCCCTGGGGGATTTGTTCCTCCAGCCATTCAAAGCTCTATGTCACCAGTGCAGTTTTCCTTCCTCTCTGCACTTTTAACCTACTTAGTTATTTTCAAGCCTTGCCAGGGAAATGGGAGATCCATGTCACTATCCAAGTCAACAAGGGGCTGTTTACAAAACCACAGTAGCACTTAGGGCAAAACCTGAGAGGGAGAACAGGGAAGCAAGGCAGATGTTGATGGCACCACCATCATTTAGATGCTTGCATTACCTGCCGAAACACATCTCCAGCCAGAGAGGCTGACCGCAGACGCTGTAAGTTTATGAGTGTTGGATTTCTGAAGAGACCTACTTACTGACCTTCAGGCTGACTGCAGGATATTGTAGTATCATAGAAACATAGAATGTCCTGGGTTGAAGTGGACCACAACCATCATCTAGTTTCAACTATGTGCAGCTATGTGCAGAGTCACCAACCAGCAGACCAGGCTGCCCAGAGCCACATCCAGCCTGGCCTTGAATGCTTGCAGGGATGGGGCATCCACAACCTCCTTGGGCAACCTGTTCCAGTGCATCACCACCCTCTGTGTGAAAACCTTCCTCCTAATATCAAACCGAACCTCCCCCGTCTCAGTTTAAAACCATTCCCGCTTGTCCTATCACTATCCACCCTCGTAAACAGCCCCCTCCTGTTTATATGCTCCCTTCAAATACTGGTAGGCCACAATGAGGTCTCCCCAGAGCCTTCTCCCAGCTAAACAATCCCAGTTCCTTTAACCTTTCCTCATTGGAGAGGTGCTACTGCCCTCTGATCATGTAAGTGGCCCTCCTCTGGACCCTCTCCAAGAGCTCCATGTCCTTCCTGTTCTGGGGGCCCTGGGCAGATGAGGCCTCACAAGAGCTGTGTAGAGGGGAACAATCACCAGCCTCTCCCTGCTGGCCAACACTTTTTTAATGCAGCCCACAACACAGTTGGCCTTCTTGGCTGCAAGTGCACACTGCTGGCTCATATCCAGCTTCTCGTCCATCTCACTGAGTTTATGCTGGGCCACCTACAAGCAGGTTTAAGCCTATGACTATCACTTGGACACTCTCCTGTAAGTACATAAAACCTGCATTTATTCAAGGACAAAGTGACAATGCCTAGCCAAGCATCAACAGCCTTCTCTTCTATTCACAGCTGAACGCACCTATTGATTCTCCTACACAAAACAAAGGAGAATGACACTTGCAAAACTGACAGAACGATACACCACACTGGCATAAGACACTTGGAGATCCTCTCCCACAGAGCATGCATGGGAATGTAGCACAGTTAGCAACTGTGGCTCCACTCAGAAGCATCAAAGACGGCATCAA